TACCTATTAGGGAAACAATGTTAACCTTTACAACTCTAGGCTATTATAGTTTTCAGCGTTTTTACCCATATGAATAATTTTCCGTTTTTGCCTAAAATACACGATATAGGGTTTCGACATGTGGGCCATCACGAAACGACCAATTCTAAATACTGAGGCAGGTCGGCAGCTCGAAGCGAGACGAAAGCTCTGTGACTTTCAGAGCAACATGTGGCTTTTGCCATCACATTTGCACATTTTGAGGTTAAGAACGGGTACTCGGAACTCGACTCTGGTTCTTCCGGCTGAAGACTTTATTGAGATCTCGCCCAGGGCCTTTCCAGTTTCTCAAGTGCCACCTCGATTCCTGTCCACCATCGCGGAACACGCACCACCGTCAGCGATACTAGGGAAGCCCCCAATAATTTTTGATGTGGCAGATTCTGGTACTTATTTCTGGCGGTTGTCAACCATGGATGAGTATTTGGACGCGAGTTTAATCTGGAGCGAGATGTCCTTTCCTCGCAATTGGCTTTTGTGTTCCTCTAGAGTAGTTGAGTGGCCTCAGACTCGTCTCCAGCCGCTCATGATTCTTAACGCGCACGAAACCACTAACCCTTTTCTGCTTGATCCCCTTTTAGAACATATAAACCTAAAAGATGGCAATCCTCTACCGAAATACTTAAGCAGTGGTTTAACGACAGTGGCTGCCCAATTCAAGTACTCATCGTTTCGCTGGCTTGAGGCCAGCGAGGCGTCGTCAGTTGTTAAGAGTTCAGCTACGCCACATTTGGTTTCCATTCTTGCGAAGATGCATCTTTTGCACATTTCGCAACTTCCCATTGAGATTCAACGGAAAATGGTGATGAAAATACCTCGCTTTGTCCTTTTAAGATCAAATATTATGCCTTTTGTTTATATCGAAAATAAAGGATGGCTTTCTCGAAAACGCATATGTTTTACCGAGCAGATCACACGTTCTGACCTTCCTCTTTCAAATGAAGAACTTTCTCATCAGCCATTAATTTGGCTAGCTGTCAATGCGGATGACGCGATGGCTGTGTCAAACACATATCTTGTTCGGTACTATGTCACTCAACGACTCTTTTATAATGCTTCCCAATTAAAGACGGAGGCATCTTAAAGTCACAATAGTTACTTTCTTATTTCAAATATCATCTGCTTTACTTTATTAATCTGATGAAGTCAACATTTTCACTAATATTATTTTCCTTTGATTTATTATACTGCTATTTCGACGAATGTTTTCTTTTAAAGAAAGTCTAGCTATTGAATAAATCAGCAGGGACAATAAAATTCTATTTCTTGGTTGCGACATAGATTTAGTGTTTTTAACCTTCTATTCATTCTATTTATCCTTATTTTCCCATTTTCTTAATTTTTACTAGGTACATGTCTCATTTGAGTGTGTGAAATCGATATGCAATCAAGGGTATCTTTGTATTCTCTTGGAAGCACGGATGATTACTTAGGTCGATGTGCATCTTCTTGGATTACACAAACACGGTTGAATCCCAAGGCTCATGTAGGCGGAAATTTACATGCTAGTACCCGTTTTCTTATTTTTGAGCCTGATGATAACTTAGTTCCAGTATATTATTTAACCATAAGGGATATCACTTCATATTCATATGAAAAAAATCATGTGCATCATCTTTGGTCACTCTGTATAGACTGTTCCACGGTACAGGAAGGGAACCTTTGTGTACGGTTCCGGTGTACTCCGGCTATGACTCCGTTGAAACGTTCAGTATGCCAGGGAAAATGGTTGTTTCGCTTTACAGCGGATTACATAAATACCGATTTTGGAGATTCTCTCAGGGCAGCAATAACTCGAAATGCACAAGGAATTGCATTGAGGATTCGTCGAAGAGAGGCAGTTCTTCAAAAGCAATACAGTACAATTACGTTTTTAACAAAGCGAGTCTTACCGCTCCGTGAACAAAGAGGCGTTTTTGTTGTTACTGCGGAGGAGCTTCTTTTCAAGCCTCTGTTTCCGCTCACTGGGGCTACTGAGGTACGATTACCATCACAATATATTTCCCACATGTTTCCCCGCCTAATCATTTTTCGTAATCTAGGCCTTGATTTTTATGGGGATGAAGTTTCATCTCCCCTTTTATCGCTTCAGTTTCACTCTGAAACTGAAAGAGATCAGAGCATTAAAATTATCTTGCAGTTTACACGTATACCGCTTTTTACAGTTTCCTTCTCTAACGTTTTTAATCAATGGCAGAAGGGTCAAATGAGCAACTATGAATATTTATGTCTGTTAAACAAATTGGCGTGCCGAAGCTTGGATGATATTTCCCAATATCCAGTCTTCCCATGGGTCATTTCCGACTACACTTCCGTGTACATAGACCTTAAGAATTCTCAAACTTTCCGGGACCTTTCGAAGCCCATCGGTGCATTAAATGAGACACGTCTGCAGACTCTGGAGAGGCGGATGAAGGAACTTAATGAACAGGAGGAGCCGAGCTATTTGTATGCCACCCATTACTCATCAGCGGGCGCAGTTGCCTATTTTTTGTTGCGATCCCATCCCGAATACCAGTTAAGCCTGACACACGGTAAGCTGGATTGTACCAACCGCATGTTTGAGTCTATCAAAGCAGCCTGGAATGGCGTCAACTACAACTGCAGCGACTTTAAAGAGCTTGTGATGGAGTTTTTTAATCAAAACGGAGTCAATATGTGTGCCAAAGCCCCGTTTGATCTTGGCATGAAGGATGACAAGCATGCTGTGGCGCCCACTATTATCTTGCCTCCGTGGGCGACTTCTGCGGAGGACTTCATAGCTAAGAATATTGCGGCACTGGAGAGCGACTACGTATCCTCACATCTTCACTTATGGATCGACCTTATTTTTGGTGTCAATCAGGATGGGGAGGGTGCTTTACAGTCTAAAAACGTTTTTCACCCATTTTCTTACCCACAGCGCGATAACTCACCAGGCGTAGGCGGTTGCCGCGGCGATACTATACCGTATGAGTATGCGAAAGAGTTTGGGTGTTCTCCTGTTAAATTGTTTTGCTCAAAACACCCATGCAAGCAGAGCGCACAAGATTTTTCTTCCGTATTTTTTACACCATGGGCCCAAAAGCTCTGCCGATCGGATGAATCGACCGAGCACGATACTATTTCGATGCTATTATTGGCTTACCAGGCTGAGGACGCAGAGAACCACCCAATGGATGGCAATAGCTCACGTTCACTGGCTTCCTGCCTCGATGATTTCCCTCCTATCCTCTTGTGTGACTCAGCACTTATCCAGTTATCTACGCAAGAGATGTTTCGCACAGCGTATCACCATATCACCGCAATCGCACTCAGTGCCCCAAACAGGTCTATCGACAACCGAAGTGTGGGCGCTCACGGCGTCCTTACGTTGATTTGTGATGACGGTTGCACGGCAGTTCTGCTTGATTACGTGTCAAGAAAGTGTTTACGATCTTTTTCAGACTTTTGCGATATCGTCGAACACGTTGCTTCTTCGGATTACAACATTTTCATATTTTGTGCGAATTCATCGTTGTATATAATTAGCCTTGAAACTTATTCCCTTGTTGATCGAATAGACAATTTTTCGATAAGTCCGATTTGCCTGAGCTCCTTTAGTGGTGCTTTTGGTGCACTTGCGGATAGCCAAGCGCGTGTCTATGAATGGACACTGACGTGGCAATTTAATGGGCAGATATCAAGCGCTCAGCAGGTTCGTCTGTTGTCTGAAGCACCTTCTTCCGTATGTGTCTTGAGGGTTAATGACAGTGGAACAATCCTGTGTGCTTCAACAGATGGCGAGGTTCTTGTGATGCGCCCGGGAGATAAAGTGACGGTTACATTTCAGTCCAATATCTCATCCGAGCAACATATTCTTCATCTTCTGATGCTATCCGACTCGACGAGTTCTTTGATTGTTGTAGTCTTGAATGATGAAGTGCATTTGTACAACTTTAGTGGGGCTATGATAAAAAGGTTGGGGCTAGGAAGCCTTGAGACATTTAGCAAGGCGTATCCGATCAGCACTCCAGAGCCACTTCAGTCATCCCTCATGCTGATGAGTACCCAGAGGATGTTGTTTTTATGGATTGAGTCGAATCAGGTACAAATTTCTCAGGTGAAAAATGATCTAACTTACCTTTTCAACAACTTATGCTCAGTAAACCATTTGACAATTGCGTTTTGTACAAGAGGAGGAGAGGTAACCCTTTCTAACATCGAAATGACTTAATACTGTTTGAGTTCTCTTATTTTTTTTTCAATTCGACTGTACAGCAGGCCTACGCTGGATTACCTTTTTCGAATACATATTATGTGATATTCTCTAGATATCTATGCTCTCGCTAATGACGTTAAATACTTATTTTTACTATATTTTTCTCCATTTTGACCCCCTCTTTTTCGTTTTCAATTTCCAGTATCTCTTAGCGAAACACGTTCTATTTAATTGCATGATTTTGAGCAGCAGTGCTCATAGGATATACCATAACATGAAAGCAATGTCTCAGAAGAAAATTTATATAGCTGGCCCAGAGGTCTTTCTTTCAGATGGTGGGACTGCCTATTATGATAAGGTAAGGGAGTTGTTGAGTGCAAAACAGGTAATCCCAATGATTTGTACCGATAATAAGATCTCTGGGGCTCTGAACATCCGTAACGCCAATATTGACATGATTAAAGAGTGTGATGCTATCATTGCGGACCTTTCTCCTTTTCGCTCGCATGAGCCTGATTGTGGGACTGCCTTTGAAGTCGGATATGCCGCAGCTCGTGGGAAGCAGATTCTTGTTTATACTTCCGACCTCCGCAGTATGACGGAGAAGTATGGCGGCACGAAAGACGCCGACGGGCTTACCATTGAAGATTTCTCCCTTCCATTCAATTTGATGCTGTACGATGGGACTCCGATATTCGGTTCCTTTGAAGAGGCATTTGAGTATTTTTGCAAAACATCGCTATGAGTATATAAATAAACTTTTGGGTTTCCTTTGCTATTTGACAGGAATTTCAAACTATACTGTATTTTTCAAGTGGTCAAAAGGGTCGAATGCTGTCATTGACATGCAGAAAGCATTAAGTTTTAATATAATAAGAGTTAAACAATTATTATAAAAATTCAATAGTGTTTTATTTCTTTGAAGCGATACCAGAAATCTCTCTCAATCATGTGGAAGTAAGATAAGAGAGCTGTCGTGTTTTACTGCAAATCAAAGCAATCTGAAGAAACGATCCATGTGTTAGCTTTTTTCAAAAGATTATAATACCACCCTAATTGTTACACCCTTAAACCTTCTTTTTTTTTTACCCATATAGGAACAACACTACAATACACTAAAAAATAAACATAAAAAATATAGGACATTATGTCCGTTTCTAACGAGGTTTATGCGGAAGGCCGCCGTAGTGTAAGGGAGAGCGTACTTCACTATGTCGCTCAGCGAATGACGGTTGCTAGGACAACCGCGGTAAGCGAGCGGGGGCGCTTTTGGATTCTTGCTCTGGGTGTCTATTCGTGCATCTGTGCTTCAACCGGTTATGTGTATAACCTTTTCTCTGGAGATCTTCAAAAGAAGTACAACTTCAGCCAGAGTGACATGACCACCATAACAACAATATCAGGAATTCTGAGTATTGTGGTGTTCCCGTTAGCAATTGTTTATGACTACTTTGGGCCTCGGCCTTTGTTTATAGTTGGAACGGTGGCGTTCCCCCTTGGCTCGATCCTCTTTGCGATGGCATTTAAGGATATGTTCCAAGGGTCAATTATCCTTTTTATTATCTTTTGTACATTGCAAAGCGTTGGTAACAGTATGTTCGACATTGCGGGACTCATGACCGTCATGAGCGTGTTTCCAAGTAGTCGAGGGGCTGTAATTGTGGTGATGAAGACCTTTATTGGTCTCGGATCGGCCATACTTGGTGTCATTCAGATGGGGTTTTATGAAAATGATATCGCTGGTTTTTTTTATTTTATGTCTGCATTTGTATTCATCTCTGGAATTTTATGTACGATTTTTATTCGTCTTCCACCGTATGAGCTCACCAAGTACGACGAAACACATTTGAGTGAAACCGATAAGCGGAAGCGGATTGCCACAAAGAGGGCTTATTTTGAGCAGGTGCCGCCATTCAGACGCTTTGCAGTAGGATATCTTCTTGTTGGGATCATTTCCGTCTTTTTAACCGTGCAAAGCACTCTGGTTGCCTACGTAGACTTGAGTCACACTTGTAAGATCACCTTTGCGATTATTACGATTGTGGTTTTACTCATGTATATGGTTATTGCGTTACCAATTCGCTGGTTGGACGGTGGAAGTGATGCGATTATAGAACGTATTCGAGATAGCGAGGCCAACTTTGAGAGCGGCGTGACGTCCCCACGGCAGCCGACCCCATCTCAAGCATTACAGCGCGCCAGCGCGAGAATGAGTCTGATCCTTGCTTCAACAAGGGGAAGCATTCGCGAGGAGACTGTGTTTCGAATGCCAATTATGGATGAATCCGAACACATCGCACCACAGTATCAGACAACGTTTATCGAGAGTTGCTTTACTCTTAAGCTTTGGGCTCTTGCATATTCCCTTTTTTGCGTTATTGGTGCACAGGGGGTCATTATCATGAACGCGCGTTTCATTTATGAGTCGGTTTCAGGTAAGCCTATTCGTGATGAAATGGCCACACTATTGACAGTTATCAATGGCACCGGGAGTGGCCTTGGGCGCATTTTTATGGGTTTTTTTGAGGTGTGGACACAAAAGCGAAAGCCTGAAGAACGTATTCCTCTCACCATATCGTTGCATATTCCAACTGTTGCTGTGCTAGTTTCATCTCTTTTGCTTCTGGTCGTGAACGAGAATTTTCTATTGGTACCCTTCATTTTGACCGCACTTAGCAACGGCTTCATTGCAGCTATAAATGTACTTGTAATACGCACAATGTACTTGAAGGATATAGCCAATCATTATAACTTTACATCTATCGCCTCTCTCGCGGCTTCCATTTTTGTAAACAAAATGCTCTATGGTGATTGGTATACTAAAGAAGCGGAGAAACAGGGAGGTACCATTTGCTATGGTCGTGAGTGTATTTTTGTTCCATTTCTTGTTATAAGCCTTCTTGTAGGTTCCGGTATTGCCACCAACTTTTACGTGCACTACCAATACCAAGCATACTGCAATGCCGTTTTGGAAGAGCGCAAACAGCCACATGATCCTGTCACCGAAACCATCCATGATGATTCTATTGGCGAATCCCAGCCTCTGCTACTGAATATCTAGCAATATTAGCGAAATCGGTTAGGCTATGTTTTATTATTGACGTTAGTTACATCCTTATACGCAAAGACTGCAATACACACATCAGTCCTAATATATAGTATTATTTTGACATGTGGCTAACCGAATTTGGTTTTCACACCCTCCCGTGAAGCGATTGGTCTTCAAAACAACCCCATACCCCATAGGGATTGAGGTGAAACAACGATTTACCTGTTGATCTTTACTTTATCCTCCATCGCTTTTGCCAATCTATTTTGCATTCTTGAAGGCTTTACTCTAGTTTGTAGGATAGTAAACCACAACCGCTGTTCCCAGTCTAGTATTTTTCTTCAGTTCGCTGGAAAATATATAGATCTTTGTGGCTTACCCAATAGTCATGGGTGTTAAAATAGCAAGGGCAACTTTAGGTTAGACGGCGATTTCAACGTAGTACACCTTTTTTTTGACAGCTAAACGCAGGTTTATGTTGCGGAGCCGTACCAAGACTGCCGCCAGTATCAAGATTTCCGAGACATATCGCAGGTTAGGTGTGCTAAAGGGTTCTGGTTCTTAATCGGAGTAGGGTGAATGCTAAGTCCCTATAACGAGTTGGGGTGGGTGAGTTGAGAGGGTGTGAACTTTTGAAACCCAAAATGAGTCCCGGTTTTAGGCCTTTTACCCTAACCCTATCCAACCAATCAAGATATTGTTTGGAATTTGTAATGTTGGATTTTTTAATCAAAAAAGGGTACCAAGTGGAAATCGAACCTGCGTCTTTTTAGACCCAAGAAAGCTGTTGAACCATTGGGCCAGAATGTTGCGCTGTGACTAGGATAGTGTTATGCTTAAGACATGAACAAGGGCTAGTTCAGCAAACGGAATGGATTCACGGCTTAGTCTTCCAATAAAATTCATGACTTCTCTTTCAGTCAAGTTCAATTTCAACCGGGCCCACTTTTCTTATTCTCTCGATTCCCCCCTTCTTGGCCCAGGGCTTGGGCAAGGACTTAGCCCTAGCCCTTGTTCATGTCTTAGGCATAACACTATCCTAGTCGCAGTGCAACATTCTGGCCCAATGGTTCAACGGCTTTCTTGGGTCTAAAAAGACGCAGGTTCGATTTCCACTTGGTACCCTTTTTTGATTAAAAAATCCAACATTACAAATTCCAAACTATATCTTGATTGGTTGGATAGGGTTAGGGTAAAAGGCCTAAAACCGGGACTCATTTTGGGTTTCAAAAGTTCACACCCTCTCGACTCACCCACCCTCAACCCTCCGAGTTTGACAAAAATAGTTTGAATTATCTCTAAATCGCTCTGCCTTGGTTTCAGTTGAATTGATTTAACTCATTGAATAAAAATAGGGTGTAGTTGCAATACGCGGCAAAAACAAAGGAAATAATAGCCGTCCATCGATCACATATTCGAAAATTTTCCGGACCATCTCGCAGTCTAAAATCATATCGGTCGGTAGATTTCTTTTTCTGGTATCATGTGTAGCCACACCACATCTCTCAAAGAAACTTTAAACGGAGCTCTTCCTACCAGGAACCCGAAACACGCTCACTACACAGGTAACGAGAAAAGTCACAATTGTCCAACTCATCTACTACGGGAAACACTGAGGTCTAATGGATCGGGCTTGTCAGGGAAAGTTGTAAAGATAAAATGGAAAGTGCTCAGTGTGCGTATCTGTCCAACTGAACATATTTCACAAGGAATAATGTTGCCACTTTGCTCCTCACTTTTCAGACTGGGAAAGGAGGGTGAAAGAAGTACCGATTACCAGTACAACACTAAATGGCTACTTTAGCTAATGAATAATAAAAAACGCTGCTATTCTTAACATGACGAAAGAGCTAGGGATAAATTAGGAAAATGACAAAATAATATTGAATAAGGGAACGTTTCCGAAACCAACATTTCCATGTAAACGAATTCTCCAATAAATCAGCTGGCTACCGCCTTAAAAGTATAGAGTTCCCCTCTTAGTAGTTTAATGATTAAAAGAAAGCAATGCCATGCAAGGGCAAAACCTTCTCAGTTCAGATGATCCCCAAACTCCCTTACAAAGTCGTCTTCATGAACGGAATGAAGGGAAAATGATGGATCCAACATAATTTGTGGCTGATATGGAAGCGGGACGCCCGATGAGGAATTCATACCTTCAGAAACTGCACACATCATCTCAGCGAAACTACTAGCTACGAATTCATGTGAAACCAGAGTTAAAGAATGTAAGTTATTGCTTCCCATACATTCACGCAACTTTAAGCCAAAAAAATACACACTCTTTCGGAGATAGTCTCCATTGTTGCAGTTATCAACCCTTGTGTTTAATAAAAATATTTTAGGAAAAGGCCGCACATCGACAGTGCACTCCATAGCATACACGAAAAAACGTAATTTGCTTTCTACTAAACCTTTCCAAATGCCAAACGCCCTTTCACATTCCTCTTCAACTGCGGCAACACAACTAACATGTATTGCAACAAACTGACTAAAGTTTTTACAGATGCTATAAGGCTCCCAGATCTGGCTCATAGGGAGACCTTCAGGATGTGCATGAAGGAGTTTCTGTGCTCGGACAATTTCATCATAGAAGTGCTGAAGACCACATCGACCCACCGCATGCGCAGCGTTTACATAGGGGTATGCAGGGTTAAGGACCGGAAATACCTCCTCCTTACATGAAGCACGGTTGGGATTCCAGCAGTGCGGTACACCGTCGATTCGGATCTTTTGCGGCTGAAGAGATGGTGTGATAAATATAGGCTTAGAATCTAATACATAAGAGGGCAAGTATTCTGAAAAGTAACTAAAAAAGTACCTAAAAAGAAAACTAGGTGAATTGTGTGGAAAGGCTTGACAAATATAGCAAACCATTATTGCCAGAGTGACGCCGTTCGGGAAGGTGAACAAGTTGCCATAAACCAGACGTTTCATCGCCCACCTCTTAACTGCTTTGAGTGTTGTAACGTAAACGCCATAGTCTACCGTAAGCCTTTGCTTGATTTCAAACACCGTTCTGATGCCGTTAATGCTCGGTCTGCTTTCAGTAGAAACGTAAAGTAGGAAATTAGTCCAGAGCAGCTGCACCGTTGTAGGGGGTGCTGCCAGCACGGTCGATGCGAAAACTACGTCCACTGCGATGCCCTCACAGTAAAGCTTAATCAACGGAACCCGCGCACTTGTAATAATCGTCACACGCAGATCGTCATGTTTGCACAGGCATGTAGACAGTTCGTTGAGAAAAACAACAGCTGGAATGTTAATAGAACTCAATACTATTCTAACCGTTGCGCATAGTTACAGAATAGATTTGAGTGAGGTAAAACAAAAAAAGGGATAGAACATTTTTGCATACATAGTTTAGGTGTCTGAAGAAAGAAAAACTTCAAGGGGGAAGGGGAGTAAAAGGGGAGGGAGGGGGAGGGGGAGGGAACAAGAAGGGAGGGGAGGGGAGGGGAGAGCGAAAAAAAAAACTCAAGTTTGGGGGAAATTGTAAACATACAAATCCACGTCACTACCCTCAATTGCGGCACCTAGTCCGCTGGAGCCGAAGAGATAAGTTTTTGCCCAGCATGTGGTAAGAAATGCTCTACTGACCACTTCATGAACGCATGCTTCGATTCGAGCAATGAGGCTATCGACGTTTTTCAAGCTGAACTGGTCCACTTCAGCTTGAAGATCACTGGAATCATCACAATAACTGGAAAACAGACTGTGTAGATTCGCACCCTTACCATAAGCCATTATATTTTTGATATAAGCAGTGACAATGAAAAAAATTGTATCTAGAGATTTCAATTGATACCGATATTTATATGTGTTTGAATCAGTGAACTAATGTATATATATATATATATATATATATGTGTGTGTGTGTGTGTGTGTGTTTGTGTGCATAAACACCAACAATAAAGACGTGGTGGTGTGTGTATAACTTGACCAAGGGTGAACAGAACAGAAGAGTGCGATAAGCGGAATAGTTATATTTGCTTAACTACATTATCATTGGACTTTTAAAGTCAAAGTCTGATTAGTAGTAGTCTTAGTGTAGTAGACTCTGTCTGTAAATCAAATTGTCTATAAGCTTTATAGAAAAGAAATGCAAAAACAGAATACACACAATAATATCAGAAAAAATCACTTAGAAAATGTCTTTCTGGAAAACTTCATAGACTCTTTATGAAGCGAGGAGGTTGGATAAGGTATAATAAAGCGGTCTCCGGCAGAGGCGATAATGAAAGCTCCATCACAAAGTTGATCCAACGATAATATTTCTGCGCCCGACGCGTCAAAAAGGATTTCAACTTTCATTCCATGCTTCCATTCCAACTCACGGGTTATAAGTGTCCTAACGGAATGAAGGGTTCGATAAGTTGAACGAATCGCTATTGTGCGGTATGCCCTCTCGTACTCATTTGATTCGTAGTTACCATTCTCGTAGACATGAACAAGAATGGGTTTTTGAAGACCTGTACGACTGGGCTTGGTAGATGCTGAGGATACAGATGGGCTGCAGTTGGTTGAGCCGGGTGTCTTATTGCGCGGCGTAGTAGATTGTTTGACCAAAGGGGCACCAGACCGCTCTTCTCTAGCCTTTAAGGGCAAAGCCTGGTGCTGTTGATGTACTTTTTCCGACTCCATCACAAGTGAATGTGTTTTATTCCTTACATTCGAAGTTTGCATCGCAACGATCTGGGAATCGGATTCCTTTAGCAAAGACGGATAAAAGTTTGAGCCAGTTGTCGCAATTAAACGAGAATTGTCAAGGATGGCATCAGCCCACATAATTTCGGCTCCAGAGTCAGAAAAAAAGCGCTTTGCCATGGTCTTCCACCTTAAAGCTTTTGTGGCTGCCGCTAGCACAACCTCTAGGGAATCCATATTCGGGTGAATCGTCATTTGAGAAAATTGAAGGTCATCTGACTTATCAGGATTGTACCCTGCAATCCAAAACCTCTTGACTTTGACGTGCGTTGCTGATTTATACCGCGGGATATGTGTATTAGAATCGTCCATTGAAAACTTAGGACAGTAGTCAGGGGGACTGCTCAAAGGCACTTGGCTTACGAATTCGGAACAGAATGGGGTAAATTGGCCATTCAATAGCGAAGACATATTAAGAAAATCAGGCCGCGGCGTCTGAGCCAGGTTATCGATATCGTGTGATACACTAACAACTTTGGGGTTGCTTGTGACGCAAAGCGGCTTCCCTAACTCTTCTTTTCCAGAAGTCATTATATGACACTGCTGGTCAGAAAACGCCTCCTTCACTAAGCCAATGCTATGAAAAGTCACTGCTGGTGACTCATGCGAAGTGGTAAGCGTCTTTTTAGAAACTGCTTTTATTGGAAGAGGGTCCATCGCAGAAGCTTCCTTATCCGTTGAACTGTTATTATTTTTTTCCACAATATGGGTATTGACTGGGGAAGCTGGAAGTTTCGGCTTAGAAGAAAGCTGGGCTTCTACAGGCTTTGCATTTGGTGCCTGTGATACACCACTCTTGAGCTGGATAACATCATTCCACTGAAGCGACAAGGATACTGGTGGTGGTGCCGCGGATTGCTTTTCTTTCAGTAATGACGCTTTGCGTTTGGGCCTGAAAGAAGCGGTCTCTTTTAATTTTACACTATCGCCGAAATCAATGCAATCGAGAAAGAACATTTTTTCGGCGTCATCAGCAAAGGATAATTCAACTGCTGGCTTCCCCTGAAATGAATTCCATATTCGTGTGATTTTCCCTTTCTCCCCAAGGTATATCTCTTTCATAGCTGATTGTGCAAAATGACCACGTTCTGAATGAGCAAGGAGGTTGGGATCATTGATTGTCTCAACATAATCACCAACTGATATGCTGTGCCCATTGTAAGTAATAGAGTTTGGTTCATTTTCATCTACCTTGGATTGGACATAAGCTACTACTTCCTCTGCTGATAACTCCGGATGCTCTGCAGAGATCGAATCAAACAGTTTCTGCTCCCTCTCTCCTCGATCGTGAAGCAAATGAATTTTCTTTTGTATTTCCTCAAAACGTGAAATATACGATCGCATCGAGCAATAAGATAAATTATATGTTATGGAGTTGCTAGTCATAAAAAAAAGAAAGAAAAAAAATGGATAAATTTCCAATTTTTCCCAAGTAATCTCATCGAGTGTGATAGTGAATCCACAAGTTGGTAAATGAAATCTTGCCCCCCCTCCCGCCTAAAAAAATCGAAAAAAATTAGAGAGTATGAATCACGGAATTAAAATTAGCTACAGAAGGGCATATTTCCTATTCTTTAGTAATAAAAAAAAAAATTTTTTTATACGCTGTAGCACAACAAATCACAAAATCCGATTTAAGCATTCCATACTCAGTTATATTCTATACACCACCCTGGTTAAACTCTACAAAGTCTGAGAACTCAAGACGTACCGGTTTTAGTTCCATTTGGGTCAAAGGGATTTGAAGACACGCTTATCCCAAACGCGCCTTGTGAAATTGTTGTTTTGGATGAGCCAAACGAAAAGGG